TCTCTCTCTCTCTCCGTGGATGGAGTGATGCGCGGATGGAGGATGGATGACTAAATGTTGTCACAGATCTGGACAGAGCCGATTATCGCGGTCGGGCGGCGGGATAAACCTCCTCCACGAGAAATAGACCCGGTGCACCGGCCAAAACTAAGTTCCACTCAATGAGCGGCGCGGGTCACGTGACGGAGCGCATCCCTCATCCCGGCTTCCTATTGGCTGACAGCGCGCACCTGCTCCTCCGACTGTAACTCAATACTACTGCATTGTTTGTGTGTGGAGTCCGTGACGCGACGCTCCGCTGCGCTCCGAACAGGAAATGTCTCCTTTATTTTGACATAAACAGTTTAATTACGCTACTCTACGTACAAGTGCACATGTCTGTTTTTCTGTGCGGGCCTGTCTCGTGCTTTGGAAGCACGAGCACATGGACAGAGGCAGTGGACATGTTGTCCACAAGCATCAGACACAAGACTCAAACATTACTGTACATGATCATGTGTCCCCTGTGGGGTGGGACAGACGCAGGGACACAGGGACCGGGGGTAAAGAGCTTAACACTGTGCCACTGTCAGTGTCACTGAGTCCACGGCACGCGCTGCTGTGCCCGAGGCGCACACCGGACCAGTGTGCCGCACGAGCGCGAGAGGGGGCTGTGCGCACGAGGACAGGCTGCTCACGGGATGCACTTTACACGCACGAGCAGCGGGGTTATCTATAGACTGGAGCGTGCACGCGCAGCGGGGAGACCGGAGTACTACTGTGTGCACTTATAACATGACAGTAAACACACACACACACACACACACACACACACATACACACACATAAACACACGTGTGGACACGGCGCGCGCCTCAAAAGTGAAAGCCTAAAATGAGTCCGGTCCTGGCGCAGGTCCAGACCTGTCTGCACGTACGTGACGCAGGGGCGGGGAGACTACTTAAAGGCGGATTAACGCTGAAGACATGAAGTCCAGCCTCCTGCCGCAGACGCAGCGGCAGCAGCGTGATCTAAGATCGCAAATAGGAGGGCTCACAGTGATCACTGCCCCATGACAGGGAGCAGCGCCGCGCGGCGTGGGAGCGCACACACCAGCAGTGCACACAGAGTCCACACATCAGCAGAGCGCTCCGACGCACGCACCGAGCGGCAGAGAGCGGTAGCGGCGGACAGCGGCACAGGACGGCGGCACACACAGCACACTCGGATGCGCTTTTCCGCCGCGCGTGGACGTTTTGGACTGTGAGCCCCGCGGACAGTCGGGACTAGCGCCTCTGCTCGGAGGGATTTGACCACAGTGCCGTGCCAGTGTCTGCTCCGGATGCACAAAAATGGGGGAATGGACTATACTAGAGAGGCTCCTGGAGGCTGCTGTCCAGCAGCACTCCACGATGATCGGCAGGTAAGAGAAGAGCAGCAGCCTCCGGGACCGTCTTTAGCATGGCCCCCATTCCCCCGTTTCTGTCTTGTGCTCCAGTGGCTCCTCAGCCTCTCCTCAGCCTCTCCTCAATCTGTAGTCAGTCCAATGGTCAGTCCTATGGTCAGTGGCGTGTTGTGTTGTGGACCTGTGCTGTGATGTCCTCGTGTTACTGGGACCACCAGGAAGCTGCTGCTGCGTGTCCACGTCTCCACGTCTCCGTGTCCGACCGAGAGCGGGCTGTGCGCTCCCAGCACCGGATCACACACACTCCTCCACCCGCTCACATGTCTTTTCTCTCTGTCTTTCTCTGTCACCATCAGGCCACTATTGTATAAACATGATACTGTAAAAAAACATGTCCAAAGCCCCACTCTAACCTCACGTCTGTCCCCACACAGCACACACACATGCGCGGGCAGAGGGCAGTAAGTATCCCTCGTGGACCCGAGCAGAGCGGGGAGCGTGTTTCAGCACCGGACAGCTCCCCGCGGGAGAGCGCACAGCCCGCCGCTGTGGCCGCCGCTGTGGCGCGCCCCTCGCCTGCTGACTGTGTGTGTGCTTGTCCCGCAGGATCCTGCTCACGGTGGTGGTCATCTTTCGGATCCTGATCGTGGCCATCGTGGGGGAGACGGTGTACGACGACGAGCAGACCATGTTCGTGTGCAACACGCTGCAGCCGGGCTGTAACCAAGCGTGCTACGACAAGGCCTTTCCCATCTCCCACATCCGCTACTGGGTCTTCCAGATCATCATGGTGTGCACGCCCAGCCTCTGCTTCATCACATACTCCGTGCACCAGTCCGCCAAGCAGAAGGAGCGCCGCTTCTCCACCGTCTACCTGACCCTGGACAACAAGGACCAAGACTCGCTCAAACGGGACGAGAGCAAAAAGATCAAGAACACCATCGTGAACGGAGTGCTCCAGAACACGGAGAACTCCACCAAAGAGGCGGAGCCGGACTGTCTGGAGGTGAAGGAGATCCCCAACTCGGCCATGAGAACTACCAAGTCGAAAATGCGGCGGCAGGAGGGCATATCGCGCTTCTACATTATACAGGTGGTGTTCCGGAACGCGCTGGAGATAGGCTTCCTCGTGGGCCAGTACTTCCTGTACGGCTTCAACGTGCCCTCCGTGTACGAGTGCGACCGCTACCCGTGCATCAAAGACGTGGAGTGCTACGTGTCCCGCCCCACGGAGAAGACCGTGTTTCTGGTCTTCATGTTTGCCGTGAGCGGCTTCTGCGTGGTACTCAACCTGGCTGAGCTCAATCACTTGGGTTGGAGGAAAATCAAAACAGCCGTGCGAGGCGTACAGGCGCGCAGGAAGTCCATCTACGAGATCCGGAACAAGGACCTGCCCCGGATGAGTGTGCCCAACTTCGGGCGCACTCAGTCCAGTGACTCTGCGTACGTGTGAGTGCGTGTAGCAGCACGCGTAGTACGCGCGGCCGGACGGACTGTACCGGGACTAAAGTGGGCTTTTTGAATTGTTTCAGACTCAGGCGTGGATTATACGTTTGTGACTTATTTATTACTGCACTGATGCAACTTTTACGTGGGGTTTTTACCGGGTCCGAGACGTTCAGGCTGGTGTCTGTCCCGGAGGCGATGCTCTATTGCACTAAAGGTGAACCGTGAGCGCCTGGCTGTATCCAAAAACGCTCCTCCTGAGAGCTCCGTTTGGCACCGACCTAATTAAACACGAGCCGCGCGCGGGCCGGATCCGCCTCAGGTCCGGACCCGCTCCCGGCGTCATCCGCGTGCGTCACGTCTCTTCTGTTGCCTGTGCCGCGTGCACCACATGTGTCCACCACTCACGCGCTCCAGCCGCGCGCACGTCTCTCATCTCCTTCTGTTTCCACACACCAAAGCGCCCACTGCTTTTCTCTGTCCAGTGTCCTCTTGCTTTGTGTAATCAAGTGCCATACTGTATATAACATGATATAAATGTATACATATGAATATATAAATATGATATAATGATGATAATACTCATGGACGCTGCTCCCTGCTTGGATTCTGCTCAATGCCGCCCAGCTCTTTGGTTTGCTCTCAGTGTATTTGTTGTGACTGAACGATGCCGATTTGTTTTGCAAATGACTGGAATATGACAAAGTGCAAGTCTTTTTTATATCAAAGAGAAATGACGAAATATCTTACCCCGAATCAACCAATCAAGACCGAGGAATCACGCATAGCACAAAAACAGAGACTTTTTATCCGTGAACGGGCGACCACAAGACCCTGCCCTGTGGTGCTATACGGTTTTTCATAATAACGAGTGAACAATTCTTCTAGTATTCTGTCTCCAAATAAAAGTGGGATTGATGAAGACCACCCGTGTGTGCGCTGCTTGTGTGTTCCGAGTGGGAAGAGGGGGAGGAGGAGGAGGAGGAGGAGGAGGGAGGGAGTGAAGGAGGGAGGGAGGAGAAGGCTTAGCAGGTACAGGGCGTAAAAAGGGAGCAATTTTGGGGGTACAGAAAGCAGGAGAGGAGCGTAGAAAATGATTAAGAAGTGCACCGGATTTTGTTTCTAAACGTACTTGCTGAGGTTCAGAATTTGGAGGTATGAATTTAGTTAAAATAAACAAACAATATAACCTCTAAAATGTCCAATCTGTATCTAAAACGTAGCCCACAAAGAAGACAACATTTTTTTTAAAGATAGGAGACAGGAATAGAAGCGAGGAAGCAAAAATTTTGGATTTAGGAGTAGAGAACATCCTAGGAAATCAGAATTATGGCATCCTACGTTACAATTTGGATTAATTTGAGTGATTTTTTTTATTTCGTTCTTATAACAGGCCTACATTTGTGATTTTAAATTCGGAACAGACGATAAAACACTATGTTGTACAGTTTAAACGTCTCTTATTGAGCCATGACTATTTAACTTGCTCTGTGAGGCGACTGTAATGAAAAACAAAGCTCAAAAATATTGCAGAACTATTAAAAACGTAAATTGAATTATATATTTCGTAAGGACAGAGAGGTAGGAGGTAGGAGACAGCAGTTAGGACGCATGGATAGTGGCTAAGACGCAAAGAGATCATTTTTGGAACAGTGAGCAGAACCGGGAACCCAAGGCGCAGGTAGCGGGCAGGAGGCGCGTGGGAGGCGGGTGAGGGGAGGTGGAGAGCGGCGGGGAGGGAGCGGGGATAGGCGGAGGAGGGCTTCGTGGTGCAGAGAAGGAGGGCGCGCGTGGCCACACCCACAGAGCAGTGCCGCAGGACGCACCTTTTACGCACCGAACACCGCACCGTGCCGCGCCGTGGAGACCGCGCACGGAGCATTGCGCACAGAGACGGGGGGGTGGACAGGCCCGGGGTGACCCTAGGGAACCCCCCGGAACAGGTGTGGGTCTGTGACGAGCAGGACGCAGTGTGGAATTTTAATATTTTTGCGTGCGTAAAGTGACTTGAATTTGGGATTTTTGTCTTGGTTTAACTTTCGACAGATTTTGATTTACTCAGATTTATTTTAATGTTAATTTTTCTTACTTCAAACTAAAAATGGGCCTATCTTTGCATTAAGATTGTGTTAACTAGGCGATTTTATTTATATATTTTATTATTATTATACAATTATTATTATTTTATTATTACTTCACCATTCAGAAGTCTTGTAAAACGAATCTAAAATCATAGGCAAAATCTTCCATTCTAATTTTTATATACTTTTTTACTTATTCATTTTTTTTTTCCAGTTTTATGCAGTAAATACAAAACAAATACAAAGCATGGAGCACTTTTCAACTGCAATAGGGTTATGAAAGGCTGGATCATGTCTCTGTTTATATTATGACCATTTTGTCCAGCGTTTAATAAAGATGTGTCCTTTTAGTCGTAGAAAAAAGGTCAGTTGTTCCATAGAATATATTTATTCTAACAGACTATTTACAGTATATCTATGCAGCCACTGATTCACTGAAGGTGGGTCTTTTTCCTTTCTATTTTAAGACAATCCAAAGCAAATCATTTGGTTTTCATGTCCAAATTGTGTTTGTTTAAAGGAGCTGTATGTAGCCTGCACTCTTACTGTTTTAAAATGTGTGTTTCCAGAATTTTAACCTGCAGACAGAGACACATCCAAGTTTGTCTCATTCTCAGTTTATGTTTAGGCCTCATGTGAAAACTCAGAACCTCCAGAATTCACTCACTGAGCTTCAGAGGCTGCACTAGCACTGACTCATGACTGGCTGCAGATCCGGGGCCATTCAGATCAGAGAGATGCATTTTATGTTCAAACCAAGTGGATTTCAGCTTTGGAATAATATATAAATGAGCATTACATTTATTAGTAAAGTATTAGAAAAATATTAGTATATATATATATATATAGTATATATAAATATAAAGTATAGGATTAGTAAAAGCTATACTTGATTTGAACATGTTTACCTCATATCTAAGGGCACAGTTTGGTCAAGTTTATGAAAATCTTACACACAGTTCCATGGAAAAAGGTGACATAACATATACACCAGTACAATGTTTATTTAGAGTCAACATTATTTTTTTTGTATCGTAACAGAATAAAACAATACAATAACATGTCCAAAAACAAGACCAGATTTAAACATGTTTATACAGTAGGCAGTTCAGAAATATAAAGCATTTTTAAAGGCTTATATTACGCTATTTTTTGATCTATGTCATAATGTACTTTCCTCATCCCAAACTAAACAGACCTGGAGTTGTGTTTTGTTTCATTCACACATGTTTCACACAAAAACTCTGCAGATTTACACTGAGTTCTTCTCTCAAACTGAAAACACTCAGTTCCAACTCTGTTTTTCAACTCCACACACCTTCACTAGACTCATTTAGATCAATTTCAGCTCTGGAATCTGATCTCTAGGGATGTAACAATAACCGAAATATCGTGATATCGTATCGTCAGAAGTCTCACAATAATATCGTGGGGTGTCACAATATATCGAATTACACGTTTCTTTGCTTAAATACATGGTTTTATAGTAGCAACAGCTTATAAACATCGGGAACTACATATCCCATGATTCATTTCAGTGCATGAACATGAGGAAATATGTTTTTTACTTGATTTTTTGTGATTATAACGGAAATAATTCACACCAAACTCTTGTCAGGGTATTTTAAAAGCAAAAAAGTGTCCTATCTACAGTTATATCACCCTCTTCAAAATATCACAATAAATATCGTACCGTAAAATGCACGTCATGATAATATCGTATCGAGAGATTTGGATATCGTTACATCTCTACTGATCTCTCTAAAAAAAAAAAAAAAAAAAAAAAAAAGGCAAATGGTAACTGAAAACTACCACTTCATGACATCACAAGGTCGAACAGAGCATTTTTAGCTTTGGAGATGTAGACCAGGGGCGTCAAACTCAAATTCACAGAGGCCAAACTAAACATTTATTGAAAATTTCAACAACATCTGCATGTTTTCTCTTCTTTCGAGATATGTAATATTAAACATTTTCTTATTAAAATAAATCCATCCATCCATTTTCTTCTGCTTATCCGGGGCCGGGTCGTGGGGGCAGCAGTCTAAGCAGGGACTCCCAGACTTCCTTCACCCCAGACACGTCCTCCAGCTCCTCTGGGGGGACCCCGAGGCGTTCCCAGGCCAGTCCAGAGACACAGTCCCTCCAGTGTGTCCTGGGTCTTCCCCGTGGCCTCCTCCCGGTGGGACATGCCCGGAACACCTCCCGAGGAAGGCGTCGATTAGGCATCCGGAACAGATGCCTGAGCCACCTCAACTGGCTCCTCTCGACGTGGAGGAAGCAGCGGCTCTACTCCGAGCTCCTCCCATGTGACTGAGCTCCTCACCCTATCTCTAAGGGAGCACCCAGACACCCTGCGGAGGAAACTCATTTCGAGCGTTTGTATCCGCGATCTCGTCCTTTCGGTCATTACCCAGAGCTCATGACCATAGGTGAGAGGAGGAACGAAGAGATCTGGGCAGCGGTCGAAGGCAGGGGCCTCGACGACCAGATCTCATGGCACGGAGACACGGAGATTAAAATAAATGTTTAATAAAAGTTTTGCTTAAACATTGAATCCAGAACAAGCTGAATATAAATCAATAACAACATTTTAAATAAATAATGTCTCTATAGTCTATCTGTAGCGGACAGGCAGCTCTAATACATGTTTGATATGATCTCGCGGGCCAAATATAATTATATCAAGATCCAAATTTGGCCCCCGAGTCTGACTTCAACATGTCTGATGTAGACAGACTAAAAATGGAGGATTACTCAAACATGTGTGAATGAAACAAAACACGACTCCAGGTCTGTTTTTGACAAAGTAACAACATTATAACATGACTTAAATCTCACAAGAGTCAGTTTGAGATAATTTAAGACCTTTAATGTAATTTTTCTTTATATCACTCCAGTTTGTGTTCTAAGCTTAAAGTGGAAA